CAGAGAGGCCCCATCCACATACATCGACGGCACCCGGGAGGGCAACGATATGCGTCAACGTCTGGCTACGGCAAGGTTTGCAGGGTGGCATGAAGGACTCAACTGCCCACGGCTGTGCACTGGGTGCTGGGTGGGGGGCCTCGAGAAGCAAGTTTCTGAAGCCCCCGCTGACGACTCGATGCGCGAAAAGCAGGCCAACCTCCGGAATAGCTTGCCCAGGAGGACCTCCCGACCGGGCTTGCCAAGATCGCCAACCCAACCGCCGACTGCCTGCTACGCGACTTCTTTCTCGAACCTGACTCGGCCAACGACCCCAGGGTGACAGGCGCGCGAACCCCCCCAACGCGACCCGACGACGACCGCTTCGGCACAGACGAACTCAGGTCTGGGATCTACGGTGCTACCTGCGACGGCCGCCCGCAGCCCATGCTGCTATACACGTGGAAACACGGGCAGCCAGCGGTCGGGTGCTTCGTTTGGCGAACGACTCCTGGCAGGGAGGACGCCGAGCAGTGCAACCTACCTCTCTGGGGCAACTGGATCGACTGCTGGACGCGTGGCGAATGGAACGCTGGGTGGTACTGCGGGAACTGTCTTGCTCACATCTTTGACGCTGCTCCATCCGTTATACGCACGCACGCGCACTAGGCGCACACGCACACACGCACACGCGCGCACACACGCACACACGCACACACGCACACACGCACACACGCACACAAGCACACACGCACACACGCACACACACGCACGCACACACGCACGCACACGCACACGCACACGCACACGCACACACACACACAACATACGCACACATGCGACCCATCGGCTACCCACCCGCGACCCACCCGCGACCTGGCCCGCGACCCACCCGCGACCCTCCCCGCGACCCACCCACATTGCTTCAATGAAAGAAAAGGCTTTTGCGACGGGCTCGTGGCATAATTTGTAAACGTTAGGTACCTGCGTCGGGCCTCTTCAGAGCCTCGCAGACTGCTGGCGTCCCCGCCGCCCCCCTCACTCTTATCAGCACTTGCGGGGTGTTCTCTCTCTTTCTCTCTCTCTCTCGCTCTCTATATATGATGTGTGTATATACACACATATATATATATATATATGTGTGTGTGAATATGTATATATAATATGTATTCATACACATTTACACATGTGTATAGCATAGAAAGCTATTCGGCGGGTTCCGCCAAGCCTAGGCGACAACCCCCGCAAGGTCGGGACCAGACGTCTCACGAATGCCCTAGAGGCTACACAGGGGCCCCCAAAGGTGCTCGTATGGCGTTTTCAGGCCGGACAGCACAGCAGATCCAGGCGCGCGCAAGCATGTGGGAGACGTTTGCAAACGAACTTGAAAAGATGCTTGAGGAATTTGCAAAATTGACATGGGGGCTGCGAAAGAGCTTTGGCAACACTGCGAAAGAGTTTCGCAAAGACTTGCGGCACCCAGGAACGAGAAGGGAAACGCCTCCAGGACACGCTGCAAGCTTAAGTATGTCACCGCGGCGCTGCCTATCCAGCAACAGCCGGGAAAGGAAGCTAGCCTACCCTGTGCTGCCGGCGTCTAACGTGAGCCTTCTTAGTTCCGCTTTGGACGCCAGAAATGGGTACGGGAAGGATGGACGCAATGCCCAACAGCAAATGTTGTCCCAAACCAACATCGGCCGCTGTTGGGCAAACGGCCTCCTGTCTCAAATGGACACAGGCCGCGGCGGCGCGGACAGCGAGTCCTGTTCAAAATGAACAGGAGCTGCTTTTGGGCAGCGTGCCCATTCCGCTCGTGCCGATCCGCCAGGAGACGGGAAAGAACCCAGACGAAGCCTTGGCGGTGTCCTGGGAGCTCTTTGGGAGCCCACGTGCCGGGGCTCCCCAGCGGCTCCATGCAGGCGCCTGGGGGCCTCCCGCGGGGGCCTCCAACAAGGGGGCCCCGGGCGCCCCCGGGAAGCCCTGGCCGCCTCCCGGGGACCCCCATCCCCGGACCCCCCCTGACGGGGAAGTAGTCGGGGGCGGAACAGGGGGGTGATGACTAGGGGGGGGTGGATATCATGGCGGGGGCCATGCTATTTCCCCAGATCTCATGGCGTTTCTTTTTGTTTCATTGCGTCCCTGGCCCCCCCGCGGGGCCGCGCACGTGCCGCCGGTCATGATTTGCACCCCCCCCCTCTTGGACACCCCCCTCTTGGCCGCTCCCGAAGTAGGGGAACAAGAAGTGACATAAACGTAAAAACTCGGAGGTCCGCGCGGATTTCTCGGATCGGCGCTGGGGCCCCGCGACGGCGCCTCCGGCGCCGCCCCTGGCGCGCTCCGCGCGCCAGGGATGGGGGGTCCAGCGCCGATCCGAGAATTCCGCGCGGACCTCCGAGTTTTTATGTTCATGCAATTTTCTGTTCCCCTAGGAAGGGATCTCAGGGAAGGGGGCTTCTGGTCGACTCAATTCAACTGCGACGTTGCTCGATTCCGCTTAGTAGGCTGTTCTGCTTTGGCTGGCGCCACGAAGGAGGTGGGCCCAGGGAAGAAGCGAGAGCGACGACGACGACGACGAAGACGACGCCGACGGCAACGACGAAGACGACGACGAGCACGACGACGACGACGACGACGACGACGAGTTAAACGAAAGAGTCTCTGGCACGCGCCACCAAACGGATTCACAGCGTGGGGCGTCTGCGTCGCCCATTCCCGCCGGCTTCCGCCCGCCCTCCGCCGGCCTCCGCCAGCGGCGGCGGCCTTGATCCGTATTCGGGAAGCAAAAAGCGACATAACCATAACGACTCGGAGGTCCGCGCGGATTTCTCGGATCGCCGCTGGGTCCCCCCGGCGGCGCCTCCGGCGCCGCGCCTGGCGCGCTCCGCGCGCCGGGGAGAGGGGGTCCAGCGCCGATCCGAGAATTCCGCGCGGGCCTCCGAGTTGTTATGTTTATATGCCACTTTTTGTTCCCCTATGGATTCCCGCCGCCTGCCGCGGGCCTCTTCTGCCGGGGAGGCGGCGCCGGCTCCTGCCGTCTTCGACGGCGAGGGGTCTGCCCTGGAGCGCCCCACGTCTGGCGGGGGGGGGGCCCCTGCCCAGCCATGCGCGGAGGTCGGGGTCGGGGGGCAGGGGGGAAGGCTCCCCAGAATCAAGTCGGGCCTGTCGCCCTACAGGGGGATTTTCGACTAAATACCCACAAAATAGTCAAACAATAATCCAAAGATAGTCTGGGGAGTTTTTGTTTGTTTTTTAATAGTTAATTTTGACCTTTTCGGAATATGTTTAGAGTATTTGTTTCGTCGAAAATCCTCCTGTAGGGGGACACGCCCGACTTAACCCTAGAAGCACCCCTGCTGCTCAGGAGGCGCGCGTCGTATCTATAAGATGTAAGGCCGGCGCCTTCTCAGGAGCAGCCTCCTTCGAAGGAGCATGCCCCCCTCCCCCTCACCCCCAGTGTGCGCTCTCAACCTGCTGTGCGGGCAGCCCCATGCCAGAGGCCCGAGCCCCCCCCGCTGATGATGATGCTGATGATGATGATGCTGATGATGATGCTGATGTTGATGATGGTGCTGCTGCTGCTGATGATGCTGCTGCTGATAATGATGATGATGATAATGCTGATGCTGATGATGAGGAGGTTGTTGGTTTTTGTTGATGGTGTTGATGATGCTGCTGATGATGGTGATGCTGATGATGATGGTGTTGATGTTGTTGATGATGATGCTGATGCTGATGATGATGAGGATGAGGATGAGGATAGTGATGAGGATGCTGATGAGGATGATGATGCTGATGCTGATGATGATGATGCTGATGCTGATGCTGACACTGATGATGATGATGATGGTGATGATGGTGATGCTGATGCTGATGATGATGATGATGATGATGATGATGATTACGATGTGGTTGATGATGATGATGATGCTGATGATGATGATGACGATGATGATGATGATGCTGCTGCAGCTGCTGCTGCTGCTGATGATGATGATGATGATGATGATGATGATGATGATGATGATGATGATGATGATGATGTTGCTGATGCTGATGCTGATGCTGATGCTGGTGCTGCTGATGATGATGATGAGGAGGAGGAGGAGGAGGAGGAGGATGAGGCTGAGGATGAGGATGATGATGATGATGATGATGATGATGATGATGATGATGATGATGATGATGATGATGATGATGATGATGATGATGATGATGAGGAGGAGGAGGAGGAGGAGGAGGAGGAGGAGGAGGAGGAGGAGGAGGATGGTCTGCTGCTCTTGAGGTTCCTGCTCGCGGCGGACGGCACGAGCTACCGCGGGCAGTGGCGGCGCGGGGAGCGGCACGGCCACGGCGAGCGCACGCTGCCGGACGGGAGCGTGTACGAGGGGCAGTGGCGCGACCACGAGATGGGCGGGGAGGGTGTCCAGAGGCGCCCAGCCGAAGCTCGAGGGCGGGTAGAGCCAGGACCGGGGTACAGCGGGCGAGTCGGGGGCGGAAAAGGGGGGTGTGATGACTAGGGGGGGTTGGACATCAGGGCGGGGGCCATGCTATTTCCCCAGATCTCATGGCGCTTCTTCTTCTTCTTGTTTCATTGCGTCCCTGGCCCCCCCGCGGGGCCGCGCACGTGCCGCCGGTCATGATTTGCACCCCCCCCTCTTGGACACCCCCCTCTTGGCCGCTCCCGAGTAAGGGGACCTGCTTAGTGGTGGGGCCCTGGGGCCCCTCAACTTGGCCAGATTTACTAGACCAGGTTTGCCGTAACTGGTGTTTTTCGGGTGACGGCAGTTCCGGGTAGTGGAAATCGGACGGGGGGGCGCCCCTGGTACAAATCACTAAACCAGGTTCCACTAAACCCAGTTCTGCCAACGCCCGATCGGGGGCGGGGGGGGCCGTCAGGAGCGTCGGGGGCGGCCAAGAGGGGGGTGATGACTAGGGTTAAGTCGGGCCTGTCTCCCGACAGAGAGATTTTTCACCACAAATGCAAGATACCCCAAAAGTAATACAAAAATAGTCCAAACATAGTCTGGGGACTATCTTTTGAGTATCTTTTGACCTTTTTGGAGCATGTTTGGGGTATTTTTGATTTCTCGTCGAAAATTCCCCTGTAGGGGGACAGGCCCGACTTAAGACTAAATAGGGGGGGTGGATATCATGGCGCGGGCCATGACGTTTCCGCAGGTTTCATGGCGCTTCTTTTATTGTTTCATCACGTGCTTGGCCCCCTCCCCTCGCCCATGGGCCGCGCACTTGCCGCCGGCCGTGCTTTGTGCTTTGTGCGCCTCCCCGCCTCTTGCACGCCCCCGAGAGCGGGAGAAGGACGTGCCACGTGCGTGGCACCTCGGCGGTCTCGAGGGAGCCCACTGCGCGAGCGTTCGCGCCACGAGGCGCTGGTTTCGCGGACGCCGGGGCCGTGCTCGCGTGCGCGGCCGGGGGCTGCCTGGCCAGGGCTGGCGTCGATCGGGAACGCGCTGGGCGCAATCGACGTGTGGGGTGCACGGGCCCCTTCCCCTGCGCTGGAACTCAAGACTGGTGGAGGCCTTGGGGTCATATCGGGGCCCTCTTCGGTCGTCGAGCGTGTTCGTATCGATCCCTTGAGGGCCGCGGATGAGCAGCGTCGGGGGTTGAGGATTTACGTAGGGTGTTTTTTGCGGGCCTCTTGGGCACCCTGCCCGGAGCCAGTCCCCGCTCTCTCTCTCTCTCTCTTTCTATTCCCATCTCTCTCTCTCTCTCTTTCCCCCTCTCCCTCTTTCTCTCTCTCTCTCTCTCTCTTCCCCCTTCTTTTTCTATCTCTCTCTCTCTCTCGGCTTCCTTGCACCGCGAACGCTCACCGCTTAGAGTCGCTGCATTGTGGCCGCCAGCCGCGTCTCCTCTCTGTCGTGCACACCCCCGGCGGTCACCCGTCAGGAGCGCTTCGGGCATGCTCTGGGCTTGACTCAGAGCAGAGCCTTGCGCGGCGCTGGCAACCGCACCAGCCTACAGACCCCTCGTCGATTCGCTGTCTTTCTCTCCCTCTCTCTCTCTCTTTCTCTCGCCCTCTTTCTCTTTCGGTGTGCATGTGCTTGTCTTTGATTTCGATTTGGTCAGGGCCTTCTCCGCAGGGTTAGCTCGTCGACTGGCTTGATGCGTCGAAAGCGCCAGAAGGCAGACGCCGGAGAGAGGGAGGAAGGTCGGGGGAGAGGGTCGCCGCCGACGCCGACACTGACACCGGTGCGCCCGCCAGCGACAACGGCGACATCGACGAAGCAGCCCCCAGAGATCCGAGGTCGTGATTTTCTCCATGCGGGACCCCTGGAAGTCTCTGCCCATTCTCCAGCAGTGGCTCTGCACCCTGGGCCTGGGCCAATGTTTAACAGTCCCGGGGCCCGGCGAGCGCCTCGAGAGGCCGCGAACAGAGAAACACCTCCGTTCTGACGTTGTCAATGCGCCGGACCTTTGGCCCCTGTCCGCCGCTCGAGGTACGGCGCCTTCAAGCCGCTCCCCTCCGCGGAGGACCACGCCAGCCCCGCCGGGCTGTACGAGGGCCAGTTCCGGGCTGGCAAGAGGCCCCGCCCAGCCAGCGCGTGTGCTGCCATTTTTTTGGAGCCCCCGCCCAGCGGGCCCTGAAGGATCCCTCAGCTGGGGACCCTTGGCCAGCACGCGCCCCGGGGCAGGTCCCCGGAGGCAGCGGTATCGGCACCTTCTGGTTCCCCCTTTTCCACGAAGCCCAGAGGGCCCCGTGGGGCCTCCAGAGGCCAGCGCAGACTCTGGGACTTGCCAGGCCGGCGGCGGGGCGCGGGAGAGGGGGGTGGCGCGAGGGAGGCGGCCTCTCGATGCAGCCGCGGCACCCGTCCCGTCCGATGTGCGCCCTGCTTTCTAAGAGGGGGCCGCCCCCCTCGCCCGCGCTCGGATGCAACTCCTGGGAGGTCAAATTCTGACTTTGCCTGGGTCCGAAATCCGGCTTAATCCGGCTTAATCCCGCCTCCTAATCTGGCTTAGTCCCGCTCAGTCCCGCTTCATCCGGCTCAATCCTGCTTAGTCCGAGGCCCACTCCGGCGTAACAGCTCTCAAATGGGGCTTAATCCTCCATAGTCTTCCCGACGAAAATCGGGCCGGGCGAAAGGGGGGGATTGGGAAAGGGGGGGGTTACGAAATCTGCTGCATGCAGCTGGTTTCGGCCCCGCCGCCGGGCCCATTCCTCGATACATGGCCGCCTCCCGGCGCCGGGAGGCGCCGGGGAAATCAGCTACGTGAGCTGATTCTCAACCCCCCCCTTTGCTATCCCCCCCTTTCGCCCGACCCGAGAAAACCTCCTTAGTCTTTCCGACGAAAACCTCCCGCGCTCCGCGGGGTCAGAGTCCGGGTGAGGTCGGGCTCGGGGGGTGGCCTGCGTGTCTCGAGCAGTGGCGAGGCGACCTGGCTCGCCCGTGGGCCCACCGAAGGACGTTCTCCAGGAGGGAAAAAAACACACAGACACAATTAATCTTCGATTCCCAGGAAAATATGGGAAAATATGGGAATTGGGGGGGAAGACAAAAACCCAGAAAATATGGGAAAATATGGGGACTATTTTTATTTGTGTGTATTTATTTGTGTGTCCTAATTTCCCTTTAGTTCTGAGGACCGGTTGTGGTCTGCGCGAACTGTTCTGAGAACTTTGCTGGCCGAGGATGTCTTGTCTGAACACGTTGGGCTTCTGTTCTCAGAACTTGGTTTTCTGTTCTGAGAACATTTTGGGGTCCCAAGAACGTTCTCGTGGTAGGCCTCTCGGAATGCCGGGACGTTCGTGCCCTGCTCAAGTGTCCAGCTACCTGTGGCACCTCCGCCACCTTGCGATTGACGCACTGTGTGTGGTGGCCCTTCGGGCACCGCCCAAGAAGTCGTCGCCGTGGCACCGTTCGTCTCGGCTTCTCGAGCAGCTCTCACGTGACCCATGTTGGCCGTATTCGTCGTGTTTTGGCCACCTGCGGCAGTGGGGCAGTCTTGCGGGTTCCTTTGGGCTTTTGGGCGCCATCTTGGGGCCCGCATTCTTTCACATCGGGAGCGCCCACATCTTCTGGCCATCTTGGGGACTCTGTCCATCGGGAGCGCCCGCATTCTTTCAATAATTATGTAGTGCTGCCATTTCAGCTTGGGCCGCATTTCAACATCGGCCTTTGTCACTTTTTTTTTCCAATCCGGCGCTCTCTCCCCTGCGCAGGCCACACTTTCAGATTCGGTGCATGTCTTTAGGTTGCGGCCTTCCTCCCCTTCTGCTCATCATCCCCTTCCGTCTACTCCTCCCACTCTTGCTGTGACCACGCCGGTTATTAGCGGATTTGTTTTTTCATCCGTTTTTTTTGGGGCCCGAACTGGGTACGGCAAGAATGGGTACAATGCCCAACAGCAGTTCCTGTTCATTTTGAACAGGACTCGCTCTCCGCGCCGCCGCGGCCTGTGCCCATACGAGACAGAAGGCCGCCCGCCCAACAGCGGCCGTGCACGTTCGGGACAACACTTGTTGCTGGGCACCGTACCCATTTCTGTCCGTGCCCATCTCGGGCGTCCAAAGCGGAACTAAGAAGGTTCAGATTAGACGCCGGCAGCACAGGGTAGGCTAGCTTCTTTTCCTGGATGCTGCTGCATAGGCAGCGACGCGGTGACTTACTTAAACTTGCAGCGTGTCCTGGAGGCGTTTCCCTTCTCGATCCCGGGTGCCGCAAGGCCCTGGCGTCCAAATGTTTGTTCGTGGACACGCCCGTGGGCTTCGGGGCACATCCACACGCGAGGGGCCGCGGCCCCAGCGCGTTCCGCCCCCAGGGGCCGGACCTCCGGGCCCGCTGGAGGCGCGCCCGCCCTCCCGCTCTTGCCGCTGCCCCTCGCCGGCCCGGTGCAGCGCGCCCGCCGCATGCTGGCACGCGCCGCCGTCGCAGCCCCTCTCTGCGCCGCCCCCACCCGGGTCCCAGCAGTGGTGGCATCCACTTGGCCCCAAGCGTCCGCCGCCGTTGCGACAGGCCCGCCGCCGTTACGACAGATCCGTTTTTTTTGTTCCTGCTTCCCGCGATGACCCGTGAGATGGGTGCATCGGCCGGTGAACACAAAAAAACGCTTGTTGCTGCTCTTCCTCCTCCCTCCTCGTGTTCCTCTTTAAGCTCCTCCTCCGATGTGCAGAGACCTCCCCTGCGCACGCCAGAGTTGCCCTCGGCGCCGGCACCCCCCGACGGAGGGCGAGAGCTCGAGCTCGTCCCTCGGTGCTTTTGCGGAGTGTCCGAGCCTCTCCACCCAGGACGGGGCTCCTCTTGTCGCCCCCCAGGTTCGCCGATGCAGGGCCGAGCCTGGACGAGCTTGCGAAGCACTTGTTCTATGCTTGCTCCTGGGATCGTTTTTTGTTTATCCATTGTTTTTCCCGTCGGCGCGGGCCCTCGACCCCCCCCCCACGGAGTAGATCTTGGCTGTGGGGCGCCTGTTTCAAGCAGGTGGAGTCTCCCCGACAGGACGCACTGTCTCAAGCAGTCGTCGCACTAAGCAGAGTCCAGAGCCAGACCCCCCCCGTCCGCCCAATGGCGAAACGCCGAATAAGGAAACGTGCGCCATTGCAGCGTGGGCGCCAGTGCCTTCCGCTGGCGCCTTGCTGCGGTTTTTTGGCGGGTGGATCCTCCACCCCGCGAGCTGCTTTCTCACGTGCGTGAGCGCGGGAGAGAGAACCCCGCACTCCGCTTCTCCCGGGCAGGGCCGGGATGAGCCCCTGTCCCGCTCCGCCTGTCCCCGCTCCCGCTCTCGGCTGCCCCGAAGCCTGGTTGTGCCACCTGGCAGCCATGCACTTTCGGAGCTCGGCGGACTCGCCGCGCAGATCTCAGGCGAGGCCCCAGATCTAAGTTGTGGTCAGCATGCTTTGCAACTGGCAGTACCTCTCATCCTTCCTGCCTTCCTGTGGTCTGTGATGCGTGGGTGGTGGCTCCTCCACTTGCAGGCTCCGCGAGTGAGGGCATCCCCCACCCCACGCATTGGTTTGGGGCGATCCGAGTTACAGGGCAGTTTTTTTTTAAAATGCATATTATGTTTAAGAACGTAGGTTTTTAATGCATGATTAATTGATGACTAAATTTATGCATGATATCATAGTTTTTGTACTAAATCCGTGCATTTTTAATACATGATCCGCATGCGGAGCATGCATTAAAAACGGCACTGTACTATCCTCACCCAGAAGGTTGTTCGCAGCAGTGCCATGCAGTCTCTCTACTGCACGTCGCTCTCTGCAACTCGAGCCGGCCAATTTAAGGGGGGGAGTGGAGGCGGAACCAAAGGAGGATGGCGGCACAAAGGAGGAGGCACGAAGCCAAGCAGGCACAAGGAACCAAAGGAAGCCAAGGAGCCAAGGACCAAGGAGGCAAAGGAAGCCAAGGAGGCAAAGGATGAGGCACGAAGCCAAGGAGGCAGGGGAGTGGAGGCGGAACCAGAGGAGGATGGCGGCACAAGGAGCGGTCGCCAAGCCGATGGGGACGCGATTGGCAGGGGCTGGCGAGGAGAGCGATGCGAGGGGGAGGCAGGGCGAAGGGCGAAAGGCAAAGCTTGGGGAAACCACACGGCGGGAGGGGAGGGCGCAGCGGAGATCCATGGCCCCGGCCGGCCCTCGGCCGCCTGCGCCCTCCTCCCGGGCGGACCCCCTGGATGTGCGCGGCCGGCCAGGGACGGCGGGGGCACGTACAGCTACGCGGACGGGCGCCGGTACGTGGGAGATCGCGGTGTGCTAAAGGGCCTTGCTCCACCAAGTGACCACCGGCTGCCTCGGCATCGTCTGGCCCATCCCTCGGAGGAGGAAAAGGTACCCATACCTCTACCCCCTCGCCCGTTTTCCCCTTTTTGCGCCTCCTCGGAGGCCCTCGTCGCCACCGCTGGATTCGCCTTGAAATCCTGGTCAGTACGCACCCCGGGAGAGGTCCAGGGCGTAGCGGTATTGGTACCTTTTGGTCTCCCCTATCCCCATTGCCCCCTGTGCCATGGTATCTCAGCTCAACCAGCCCACTCTCCCAGGTGGGGATGGGCCTCGCGAGTGCATCCACACCTCGGCGGTCAAGTCGGCCAGAGGGGCCAAGGCCACGCTAGTGGGGGTAGGGGTCGTTCCAGCGATGCTCAATACCGATCCCAGGCGGAACAATCGTGGACCCATTACCAGTGTCGCGCCTCTGCGCCCAAGCCCGGAGGGTGTGTGCACCGATCTCGGGCCCATGCTGGGCTTGGTGTTGGTGTCTCCCGGATCCAGCGGTTCGACGTGTTTCGAGACATTGGCTTGCGGAGCCGGCCTCGCCACACGCTCGGGGAGAGATCTGACCCCTGAGCCGCCCGCCCCGTTCCAATTTTCCTTCGGCCGCGTCCTCTCTTCGTCCTCCTCTTGCATGGTGCCAGAATTCGCTCTAACTGAATCTCCGTTGAAGCCTCTCATCGCCAGCGCAGTCACCTTCTGCCTAGCCGCCGACGCAAAAAGTTTCGAGGCACTGGATTCCGTACCTTTCTGTCCCTTCCCTGGGGTCGGCTTCTCATGTGAATATTTGTGTTCCTTCCCAGGTTAACGCTCGTTACCCTGGCCAACACCCCCCCCGGGTAACACTAACTATCGTTCTGGGTGGTGGCCTGGACTGCTCGCTACATGCTGTGGTGCACACAAGCGATTGATGCGCCGGTGGCGCGGACGCACCCTGGCGGGTGCACGCCGCGGCCGCCGTAACCGTTACCCTCCCGCCCGAACCCCACTCCCCCCTCTCCCGGGTGACGACCGTTGCCTGGGGAACAATAAAGGTCACCATATCGAGCATTCGTTTGGTTGTTGGGGCAGATGGGGGTAAAATGATGCGGGCCTCCAGAGGCAGAAGCAAAGGGCAAAAACAGCCGCCACTCGTTCTTCGTGGCGAAGACGGCCTGTGTGAATCTAGGGAAGAGACGCGATGACCATGTTGAAAAGAAGTTTCGGGATCTTGTCGACATCGATCTTGGTCTTGGTCCATGCAGGTCGTCACCGATTCGCTAGGCGCGAGGATCCAGGATTGGCACCGCCGCTTCCACACCTTCAGTCTTCGTCATGATCCTCGCTTTCTTCCCCTCCAGTGGGCGCCATCCCCTAGACATCCGATGTCTGGAGTTTTGCAGCACGGCCCCCCCCATACAATGCCGTTTTTAATACATGCTCCGCGTTCGGATTATGTATTTGTATTACAGGTGCAGGGATCTGTATTAAAAACGACGGTGAGTGCATGAGTTCGTCATGGATTAGACATCTTATATGGTTTGAAATCCCATGTCTTAAACACTGCCCTGTCGGTCTGGACCCGCTCCCCGGACCAGCTCTTCGTTCCGACTCGTGTCCTCGCAGCCGTGCGTGGGCCCGGCGAGGGCCCCAGAGGCCGGGGATTTGAGAGACACCTCCGCCGGGAGCCTCTCGAGACGTTGGGGGTCTGGGCTCGGATGCGGCTCCCGGGAGGTTGCACTCAGCATCGGCTCGGGGTTGGACGGACCTCCCACAGTCGGGGCGTTGACCTAAGGAACCCTAAATAAGGAACGATGGCGCTTTTTTCCATAAGTGAAACTTGGATTTCCCATCGGAAACATAAGGAAAACCTGATGCAAGCTGTGAAACAATCAAGGAACACCGAGCCCCTCCCCAACGAAAAGGGTTCCTTCTTCAGCGCCCCGACCGTACCCTGGCACGTCGATTAAGGAATTGGCTGGTTTCGGTTCGCGAGGGGGCGTCGCGGCCGTCATTTTTGCGGGTCCAGGTCCGTCGGTTTCGGTCCCAGGCGCTTTTTCACTAAGGGGAGGTTTACTAAAGGGAGGTTTGTCCACCGCCGATCGGCGCTGGTACATATCCGTGGTCGAAAATCGGCTTATCTGGCACAGTCCCGTTGAGTCCTGCTTCGTCTTCCTTGATCCCGTCCGGCCTCATTCGGCTTCGTTCTTTCGCTCCATCTGGCCTCATCGGGCTGCATGACGTGTGCTTCCTGTGGCTCTTACAGTGGAGCCCCATGCCAAGAAGCACCCTGTCTGCCTCCAGGGCGCCCCAGGCTTCTTGGGCTTCAATGGCTTGGCTGCGAAAAGAGCGCGACGCGCCCGCACCAAGAGAACCGATGGACGTCCCGAGGCCTCGCGGTTAGGTCTCTCGTGGAAAATGTTCGACTAAACGTAAGAGTGACCCTTCGCCGGAGTGACCTTTGGTGCGGGCCCGTTGGGGTCCCCCGATCGCCGAACGCGGTGCGATAGCAGCGTCTCGCGCGCTTGTGTTTGGTCCCCCCGCGGCCCCCAAAGAGCCGCGCACCAAAGGTCACTCTTACCCAGGGTCACTCTTGCGTGTAGTCGAAATGTTTGTGGTGGCCGAGCTCCTGCTGTATAGTCCTTCTCACGGATCCCCCGGACGCTGCCCCCCGAGCCCAGCTCCGGGCCGCGAGCTCCTTAGGGGCCGACGCTGTGACACCAACCAACGGGTCGGGCATGCCCCCCCCCCCCCCACAGGCAGATTCTTGGGGACGCAGAACAAATACTCAAGCATTGACTCCACAGTGGGTTTAAAAGATGGTAAGAAATACTCAAACACATATTCAAATACTCAGACACCTATTCAACACATTAAATACTCCACAATGGGCTCTGGAACAAAACGTGCTAAAAAAGTGTCGCCCCCGGACCAGGACAGTTCCTGCAGGGCCTCTACCACGGCTCCGGGGCGCTGTCCTTCGCGGACGGCACCGAGTACCGGGGCGGCTTCCTGCGCGGCCCGCCCCGTGGCCGGCCGGCCGGCCGAGCCTCGGCGCGCGGCGACTTTGGGCGGGGCTCGCGGGCGCACGCAGGGGGGGCCCCTGCCAGGACGCACCCTTCAGGAGGGGGGGAACAAAAAAACAGACACAATTCATCGTCGATTCCCCAGAAAACATGGGAAAATATGGGAAGTGGGGGGGAAGGCAAGAACCAAATATGGAAAAATATGAGGAATCTTGTTATTTGTGTGTTTTTATTTGTGCAGGGGGGGGCCATGCCAGGACGCACCCCGCTTGCCTCCAGTTAGAGGGGACAAAATGCGACATAAACATAAAAGCTCTGAGGTCCGCGCGGATTCCTCGGATCGGCGCTGGGGCCCCCCGGCGGCGCCTCCAGCGCCGCCCCTGGCGCGCTCCGCGCGCCGGGGAGGGGGGTCCAGCGCCGATCCGAGAAATCCGCGCGGACCTCCGAGCTTCCACGTTTATGCCACTTTTGGTTCCCCTATCCAGGGTGCCCTGGGTCTCTTGGGCTTCGATGGCTCTGCCATGGAAGGCGTGGCGTGCCCACGGCAAGGGTCGAGGGACGTCCTGGGGCCTCGGGGTGTTGGGGTTCTCGTGGAAGGTTCCTCGTGGTCGGGCCTCCACTGTATCTGCACCGCACGACGGGGTCACCGGGCGGGGCCAGGGCAGGGATGCATCGTTCCAGAGCGCGCCGGAACGCCATCGGAGCGCCCCCCCGGAGCGCTCCGAAGCGGCCGCGGCGCCCGGTGCATCTTCCGGAGCCCCCAGACCTCGAGGATCCCCGAGCAGGCCCCGTCTTAGGCCTGGCCTCGCCTCAGGTCTGAGCTTGGGATGGCGCCGATGCATCGCCGATGCGGCGCGATCTTCCGACCCCATGTGCTCGGACGCCATCGATTTTCAAGGCCTTCGGCGACGGTCGCTTGCGCGGGCGGGCCCCCTGTGCCGCCGCGCCGCCCGAAGCAAGGCTGCGCCGAGCCGCGCCCAGGGCCGCGGTGGCGATCTTCGGCCCCTCGGGGCCCTGATCTGGCCTCGGGGCCGTCAAAAAGGCACCCAGAAGGAGTGGCCGACGTTCACCGCGAAGGGGAGGGGGCTTTGTTGCGTCCAGGTCACAAAAAAGAGGTTCACGTCGTCGCGCTGGACTCGCCGCATCGGCGTGGCGGCGACGCCGGCGCGGTTGTTGGCTATTAGTGGCCTGATCGGTGCCGCTCTTGATCGATTTTCGTTGTCGGGTGGACATCGTTTTTTACTCGATGAACCAGTCACGTTCCTTACTGGGAGGGAGGTCCCCGCCCCCCTTTCCCGC